CACACACACACACACACACACACACACACACACACACATTTATATATTTTATATATATATATTTTGTATATCAATCGTATCAATATATACTTATTATCGAGTAAAAATTCGAATTATGTAGTTTGTTCTTGAATATTAGATGGATAAAAGACTTGGAAGTAAAAATTACATCCGTGAAGTAATATGAGTTATAAAATATGAGATATAGGATATATATCAAAATGTTTTTGTTAAAATTTACAAAAATGTACTTGTTTTCCAGTGCGACTAACAAATCAAGACTGAAGTATTGTATATTTTTTCACTATCTATTATTTTTCGTCATGCTCGCCAAACTATCTGCAGACATATTAGATCATCTGGATATATTTATTTGGGAAATCGAGGAGTTACAAGTACCACAGGTATAATAAAATATAGATGTAAAGTTCAATATAATCATTGTTTATAATTGTGGCTATATTTTAAGCAACTATGATGTGAAACTTTAATAAAAAATATCTTTGTAGACTCGAGTTAGACTAAAGTTGACACAATAAATCATATACTTTCTATATATATTTTTTGTTTTTTTCTTTATAACATATGTCATATTTAGATTAGCGATATTGAATTTATGATGAGTTTTTTAATCATCTAATGAATTAATTTCCCTTCTGTTTCAGCCATTATGGTGGGAGTATATATGGTGCATTAGTTTGTCGTTATCATTTTTCGCTCTCTCTGCGATTAAAAGGAATAGGATTAAAACTCTGCAAAAATATATGATAGGTATCATCCTGTTAGGTTATGGCCCATTAGGTTATGCTATAGTGTATTACTTCAAGGATGTCTGGACATACTTAACTGTAGGCAAATCTGATGACATTCATTTGTGGCAGGTATGTTCATTTTTTTAAAATATCATTAAATATCTTTAAACTTTTTGTTCAAATAAATAAAGATGAGTGTGTATATTAATTATATTTGCAAGATTTTCTTTTGAAAAAAGGAATTTTATATTTTTTGT